TTTCACAAAGCAAAAAGTTTTTAATTTTAATAAAGGTTATTTTTTTACTTTTAAAATAAATTAGAATAGCTAATGCAGAAAAGTCGGGTTCTGGCATGGTGCTGTGCGATAAAGCACAAGGTCAATTTTAACCCATGGTCTGTGGTTCAAACTCACCAACCACTCCTTGAAAACCCTATACAAAGTCGCTGTGCATTGAAACTGATGCAACAGCACTTAACAACAATAGCAAAATAGTCAGAGTACTAGATCCTGGTCTGGACTTGTAGTTTGGTATAAATCAACTAAAATCCAGCAACAAAGGAGTATATAAAAAGTATTGCACATATTATTGCTTTTAAAAAGATTAGGAACATCAGTATTCAAGGCAGTCACCAATCAAGACAGCTTTCCTCAATTCTCCTTAAACCTCTTAATGTATTTCCTCAATGACCAGATTGCTATCTTTTAAAATAAAAATCTGGAATTAAAAATTTTAAGCATCAAATGATTATACAGTTTCTTGCAAGTTTTCAATCATTCAAAAGACACTGATAATGTTCATAATGAGCCTGAACACTAAGAATGAAAAAGAAGTCACTAAGAGCAATCTATATTAAGAAAAGCAATATGGAGTATCCATGTACAAGGAGTCCAAATGCTCCTTGGAAGTGATAATGACAAATACCCCTGGAAAAGGACATTATGCTTGGCAAAGTAGAGTGACAGCAAAAAAAAAAGAGGAAGATAGCAAATGAGATGGATTGGCACAGAGGCTACAACAATGAGCTCAAGCATGACAACAATTAAGAGGATGGCATAGGACTGACCAGTATTTCATTCTGTTGTGCATAGGGTGCTATAAATCAGAACTGACCTGATGGCACCAAACAACAACATGTGCCCCTTCGTGAAACCCTGTAGTTTCTTCCTCTCCCAAAGAGAGTTCAAAGGAAAACAAACACAACTTTTTACTATCCATCTTATTTTTCATAGATTCAGGGAAATTGCAGCCAGTTCTTTGCTATGTAGTACTGATTCTTGAAGGTTAATGGAGTATTACTTCTGCGCTTCATTTTCATCTCTCCACATTTATTCAAAGATGACAATTTCCAGATGACAAAAATGGGGGGAGGGGTTGGAAACAGTGCTTGTGGAGGGGAGAGTGTTGCAGCTGGCCACAGTCTACTCTCTTCTCACAGATAAAACATCAAAGGGAAGGGAGAATATAGCAAATTCCCTGCGAATAATGCATGTAGTATGCTGTAGCTTTTAACAATTCAGTTACATGCACTATGAACACAAATCTGTTATTTAAAAATACCAGTCTTTATCAATTTATCTTTGTTCTGGAACTAGTAGAGTAGAAAAAAAAAAATGGAAAATTTGCATGCAACATGTAAGGGCTAAATAGAATATCAATCTGAACACTCAGGATTATACTTATTTATTTATTTATTTTTTTAACAGGAATCAAAAGACATTACTATAGTATTCTTGTAATCTTAGCAAAACACATGGATAAAAAAACCTTAATTTAGATAGCAAGATAGCATGGTAAGATGACATCAGAGA